ATAAAGAGTAACATATGCCTTGTTTGATATGATCATTTACTTCCAATCGCACAAGGTAAGTTGTTTGAAAAAAATATTCATGTTATATTTGTTTTATGTTTTTTTTACTAATATAACTTTCACACTTAGTGACTTACTTGATTTACCATTACATACCTTCATTCTTGTATTTGTTGCAGCTAATTTTATTGTCTTCAATAGATACTTTCTCTTGGTATTTTTTACATGCAGCATAGCAAAGTGATGCAGCTAATTTTATTGTCTTCAATAGATACTTTCTCTTGGTATTTTTTACATGCAGCATAGCAAAGTGATTCTGGATTGATTATTGCTCATATTCCCTACTTTCTCTTGGTATTTTTTACATGCAGCATAGCAAAGTGATTCTGGATTGATTATTGCTCATATTCCCGCATTGAATGTGCAATAAATATATTATGAATGTTAATGAGATTATCATGATCATCGTAGTATGAGGTTATTAAATGTAGAAAGTAAGTTTCTAATTGAAATGGACAACATAAATGATAAAAACTAAAGTGGAAGATCTAATGCAGTAGTTCTCAGAGAATGAACCCAAACCAAGTACATAGAACCATCAATTTCTTTGTGATGTGAATTAGCAAGCAATATTTATGTGCTCAAGAATGTTGGCATCAATTCTGTTAACTGCTAGAAGTGAACATTTCAGCAAATAACCAAGTGTGAAGTTGAAGATGAATAATGTAATAACTAAGTTTATCTTTTGTGATAATTAATGTGATAATACATGATAGATCCAACATCTTTGTGTTAGAAATTGAGTTATTTAGAAGGATAGACTCCATTCATAGAGCTAAAGAAATTTGGATAGAGATGAAATCCAGGGAGAAGTAAAACGACCACAACTGTTCAATTCAATTAAATTAGCGTATTATAAGTATGGACTTTTGGATAAAGCATCTGAGATGCTTAAAGAAATTAAAGCAAATCGATGCAAGCCAAATGCTAAAACTTACAATCACATTGCATTGTGTTGTTTAAAATCAGGTTTAATAAAGGAAGCATGAAGACTATTGAAATGGGAAAGAATAAAATTTTAAGATGGGAAAGAATAAAATTTTGAGTTTTCAGGTAAGAAGATCTATATTATGGTCTAAGATTACTTATACGCTATTTGAATATTTACTGATGTGAGAGACTTAGTGCCATGAATTACTTTAAGAATTTAAGCAAACAAAATATAATAGATATACTTTTGTATATAATACCTTTCTACGGGCTCATGTGGAGGCAAAAGTTTATGATACTGATTTATTGAAGGAAATGATTCTAAGAGGAGCAACCCCTGATGTCTAGACATAAAGTGGTTTATGATACTGATTTATTGAAGGAAATGATTCTAAGAGGAGCAACCCCTGATGTCTAGACATAAAGTCTTGTGAGACTCATTGGACAATTCAAAAATGATTCTAAGAGGAGCAACCCCTGATGTCTAGACATAAAGTCTTGTGAGACTCATTGGACAATTCAAGAAATGATTTCCTAATTGCAATATCTATCGAATGTAAGTCTGATAGATGAAAAAAGTGTAATGGAGATCGTTTAGCAGAAACCATTTTAACCATTCTTCAAATTTATCTAGTTGTTTCTTCAAGCTCAGAAGCTCTAGTCAGAATACTAAAAATGCAAGATATGTTGTTACCCTCGTAAAAAGAAAATTTATCAAGTTTATCTCAATTTACTTAGATTTTGCTGCTAGTTGAATTGAGAAGTTTACCTGAAGCTTAATTTAAGTTATGTACAAGATTAGCCAATGACCATGAAATTCAGGGCTACAACATATAATCCTAAATAAAGGATGACTGCAATTGTAAGGTTCTTTGGGGATGGGCCAAACGCTCAATGATCCTTTTCAAGAAAATTGCCTATAACGTTTGAGTTTATTACTCGTCATATACTGATCTACATTCTCCCTCTTAGAAAGTTTTTTCCTTTAAATATATTCAAATCCCTATCCCTGGCCTAAACCATAGTCAATTTTAGTCAAAATCACTAGTCATACTATAGTATATCACTACCATTACAAATAGTACAAAACAAAGCCTTCAAGCTCTTAACAAATCATGGGATCAACAACACAACATAAAATTTTAAGTATAAAGGATCCAGATTGAAATCAAACTAAAAATTCTACTTTTGTTTGAGTAGACATTTCGGTTATATATGGTGAGAAGAATCTTGGTATCAATTCAGACATTGAAACACTTACTTAGGATCAATAAAATCTATTATATCATATTATCATATACTTAAATCAATTCAGACATTGAAACACTTACTTAGGATCAATAAAATCTATTATATCATATTATCATATACTTAACTGCATATTCATGCATAAATATGTAAAAACAATACATAAGAAATTTTCTGGCATCTAAAAGATTTAAGTGCAACAACTGAAGTAAATCCTCATCTATCAATGAGCATTCACGCTTTAATGTAGTAATTGCATAAAAAAATTCATCTAGCAAGTCAAAGGACGCAAAGAAAGTAAAGATTTAACAGTTCACATCCCTTAAAGTTACATTATTTCGCTCCATTTGGATTTAACCTGTAAGATTGATCCTTTTGTGAAAGGGGTGCCTACTGTGCCTCCTTATATTTGACCTACAATCTCCCCTTTGTCAATTTACACATTCACTACTAATAAGCACCGCCTGCTAAGATGTGCTTTAATATTAGAACTAAGTAGCCTATACATCAAATTTGTAAAGGGGATGCGGACTATTAGTTGATAATTAACACTTATCAGATGTATTACTTACGAAGTGTACCCACTTGAATCACTGAAGTAGTGATCGATGCACATTCTTTGATAAATTTTCATGACCGCTAAAAGCTAATTTTCCTATGTGGGAAGAAATTTGAAGAGGTTTAGACATCATGAAATTTGGAAATGTATAGATCTATGTGAAGAGTGTGATTCTCAGGGTCTAGATTATAAAATATAGACACTAAACCTTCAAAAAGTAATAATCAATCACACATGTGCAGAATTTACTTCAAAAAAGAAAAACAATAAAAATGCTACTTAACATCTAGAACACGAGTTTTTTTGTGTAGTATTTACGACTTTTAGCTAAACCCTTAAAAATTGCAAATGATATCATAAAGTTGTTCTTTCTAGTAAATCAAGCGAATTTTGACTAAAATAAGAGTAAAAAGGAAATCAATGAAATATAATAAAAAATTATCCTTTTTTTTTAACAATATAATGAAAAGTTACCTTGATACATGGAATCTCCCACCAAACTCAAATTCCACTTCCAAGCATTGCATTAAAAAGAAGGGAAGCAATTAGAAAATTATTACCTACAATCAAAATTAATTGTAATGGTTACGTCCAATTTACATATACATAAGAAATAAATAGAAAAGATTAAAAATTGATACTTGTAATGAAGAAATTCACTTTCTCTTCTCCATCAAAATTAAGTCAACAAGCAATTTATACAATTAAAATGCGTTAAAAATTTAATATTTCCATTAAATTGGTAGTGGGAGACGTGGGGAGTTAAATAACCACTGCAATTAGTGGTAATTATTGGATTGTGAGAGAGAGAAGGAGAGAGAAAAGGGGAAGAGAGAGGGGGTAGAGAATTGATTTGGCTGAAGTTATAAACTCGAGGAGGTGATAATGACAATTTTTTTCTCTTTTATAAGCAGTATAGATTCATATGTATATATATGTAGATGATGACTTATTTTTTTCCTAGGACATAAGTAACTTAGTTATGCCCACTTGTAAAAGTGTGTATTATGCAATGAAATTGGACAATCAACTCCGTTTATCTTGATCTATTTACCTTAAAATGTCAGCAAATAAAAAATCATGTGTTGAGCATATATGACATATGCATCGAGCGGTCACAAAATTAATGCCTTCCTAACAATACAACAATAAAGACCTCTTGATGCATGAGTTAGACTATTCCAATGGATGATCTGCTCCATTAATCATGATCTAAATATCTCAAAACATTTATAAATAAAAAATTATGATGTTTTAGTACTTCAAAGACATATTTTTCATTTTCTCTTTAGTTGTATTGTCGGAAAATCATTAATTTTACAATCACTCGATGCATGAGTAACTATAACCCAATTTGCCAATTTTTTGTTTATCTACCATCCAAAACATATAAACCAAAATGAACATAGTGCATCATGTAAATTGATTATATATAATGTACTTTTGTAGGTGGGCATAACCAAGCTAGTTATGACCTAGGAACAAATTAGCCTTTCCCATGCATGTATATTTGTTTGTATATGTGTGTGTGGATATACATATGTATGTGTACGTATGTGGGTGCATATGGATACCTACATATGAGTTGCCAGCTTATTTAGCAAAATAAGCCATTAAGAGATAAGAGTGGTGAGGTCCACATACTCTGATGTGACTAGCTAGATGGGTTTTACCACTAGTTTATTTCGTGTAGCGCATTTAGCAAAATGAGCTGTCATCTCATACCCATTTGTATATTCATATACAAAAACAATATATACATATTCTACATGCATATGAGTGTAGGCATGCGTGTATGTGTATTGGGAGGGAGAAGGAAGTCTGTTAGTCAGAGAACCCACATCATCAAAATAATGCTTGTACCTTCTAGGTAGAGGAAGTTACTATATGTGCATGAACGCTACCGTAAAACACTTGGAGGATATCTACAAAATAATGCGTTATATGTTGCGTCTTTATTACATCCTTTTTGGTGATTCATCGGATTATTGTTTCTCAATGTGGTAAAGGTGTTTATTGTTGTGACTCGTGAGGTTCGCAAATTTGTTTTATTTTAACTGTTTAGTGGGTTCAAATAACTATATTATAAAATGATTAGCTAATCAATTTCAAATTACTTTATAGGATTTTGAGCTCTTTTCAATACTCTTTATATTCTTCATTCAAAGAACCCAGCAGAATCAGGACTTTACCTAATTCTCTGTTTATTATCTTAATCTTCTGATTGCTAATCTGATCACTGTGGTCTAGGTATCATGGGTTCAACTTTCTTCTTCAGTTCTCAATCTGATGTGTCTCCATTGTATTTCTAATTTGAGACCAATCTAGTTTTACATTTTAGCACTTGGCAAAGTTGAAAGCTGGTTATTCTTGCTTCCTATTTAGTGATGTAGCATCATGTCTTTTGCTTATGCAATCATTATCCTTTTGTTTTCTTGGTTGAGGGATGTCAGTTTATGGCTTTTAATGTTATATCTGAACATGTTTCTCATGTTTATGGATATTACATGTAAGTTATTTTCTTTCACATCTGCAATAAAAACTGTGTTCAGTATCCTTTAGTTGAAGAGTTTCTTTTTCTTCTGCACAGCATCTAAAATATTTCCTCTTATTTCATCACATTTATGCAGCTTGGCATTAAAATTCGTCTTTTTTTGTCTGCCTCAAAACATTGGAAGCTACATTGAACTGTATATATATCTCTTTTTATATCTACGGCAGGCTAAAATGTCAGATTGCGATGATTTTGTTGAGGAGGACGTTGATGAAGATTATGATGATCTTGATCTCTCAGATGAAGAAGATTTGGAGTTTAATGACAATAACCGGGAGAGAAAGCGGCTTAAAGTTGGACGCAAAGCAAAGTCAATAAAGGATTACAAATCTTCTGTTCATAATCGGCAAAAAAGAGGGAAAACTTTCTCAGATGAGGAGGAATCATCTGAAAAAGACTCTGAACAGGATACTGATGAAGAATTTAGCCATAAAACCAGAAAGGCATTGCAAGTACATAAGAAGGGTGGTGCCAAGTCAACAGGTGCAATGAATATCAATTCACGTGGTGGCGAGCTACGCTCATCTGGTAGGACAGTAAGAAAAGTATCTTATGTTGAAAGTGAAGAAAGTGAAAAAGAAGATGAAGAGAGATCAACTAAGGCTCAGAAGGTGGCGGTTTAGTCCCTAACTGCATGCTTTTCAATACGTTTGCTGATAACTGTTGTTCGTTTAGGATGTCATCTTGTTCTGTTTTAGAAGGGCTCTTAATTTATTTTAATTCTCTATAAAATTCAGCTCTCCCCCTCCTTAAATTTATGTGAAACTTCTGCGTACAAGAGATTGGACTGCACTGCACCTTTTAGGATCTTCTTTTATTACTCATTTGCCCAGATTTCCTCCTTCCTATGAGGAAAGGCTAGAATAAGACTAGAAGCTTTATGCAAACAGCTTGCAAATTGTCAGCAGTCACAGATGAAGTTTCTGTAGTCTTACAACCTGACTTTACCACAAGACATTAGGACTTAATCGTTTAGTCAAAGTTTCATTTCAAGTGATTTTTATGCATTTGTAAATTGCCTTAAAGATTTTTTTTGAAGAGTTTGGTTCTTTCCCTTCCTGCACGTTATTTGAAACTGCTGCATATAAATAATTATGTAAATAATACCCACAGTAAGTTACTCTTGGATGTTTTCATAGCAATTTGCACTTAAGCTGCTGTAAAATACTAGGATTAACCTCAAGCTTAGTAACCTCATTCTTTTGTTTTCCAATTGTTTACTCATAAATAAAAGGTTTTGAATCACAATTTTGTCAAAATTTTAAATGGTGTCTTCCCTTGTAACTATGGACTCCTGTTGAAGCTTTTAGTCAATGAAAAATAGAATTCGCATGTAAAAAGTGTAAATCTAAATATGAGAATTAAAACAAGAATCAACAGGTGTAGTGGAAAGTGATCATTCTATAATGGATAGTTGACAGCTTAAATCCTAATTATGGATCTTTCTAAAAATGCATCGTACTTAGCATCTAATGACAGTTGATGAAAAATGAATCAAGTGACTATATGCTCTACATGAATGTTCTATTATAAGCAATCATATGCGCCCATAGCTGCATTCATTTTTTGCTCTCCCTTTTACTATATTTTATGTCATTAGAAAACTTTGGTCTATTTTGTGATTCATTGACAATAATTTGTATGCAGTAAATATTAATTGTTAAATGTTTATTGAACAGCTTGTCCAAGATGATGCTGATGAGAATGACATTGATACAATTGAGAGGGTCCTCTGGTACCAGCCAGAAGGCATGGCTGAAGATGCTATCAAAAACAATAAATCAGCACAACCCAGTGTGCTGAGCACCATCCCAGGCCCTGAACCTGAATGGGATAATGTGGAATTCTATATAAAGTGGAAAGGCCAGTCTTATTTACATTGTCAATGGAAGTCATTATCTGATCTCCAAAATGTAAGCTGTAAACCTTTTTGTAGCCACTTACTTTTTCTCTCCAGGAGATGTATGACAGATTTTTGTCTATTCTCATTTTTGTGTGCCTAATTTTTGTACAAAATTATTTGCTAATATGATAAAGTATTGCAGCTGACTGGCTTCAAAAAGGTTCTGAACTACATAAAAAGAGTGAGTGACGAAAGGAAACGTAAGAATGCCCTATCACGTGAGGAGGTAATTGTGTAAATGGCTAGTATTGAAATGATATTGAGTCAGCGAGATAAGTTGATTGTGTTTGTGAAAGTTATTTTTCTTTGCACTTCATCATTCCTGTATGGAGATATCTTGTCATGGGTTTGTACTAAACCTGGACTAACTTTAGTGCCTGTTATGTAGCAGAAGTAGAAGCATAGGAATTTTTAATTCAATTAGATGCCATTGTCCATGATATGATATTTTTTAGTATAATCATGTTAATTAATGCACTTCTAATTGGACAATGATAAGGGAAATTTGAGACTCATCTAAAAATAATAAAATCTGTTAGTATTCAGTTATCCTTTTTATTGACCAACTTAAATACCCTGAAGAGATGTCTCATGTTACATCTTGATACACGGAGTGAAAAGCCTGGGATATTGATGTGATTTAGGTTATGGGAATTTTTTTTGGAAATTCATTTTTCAGCAACCTGAATTAATTAGTTTAATGAACTTTATTCTTCGCAACTTATAAGTTGTGACCTATTGATGGCGGAACTCACCAAACACCTTAGTTGCATGGTTACAGACGGGGATAAACTGGGATCACAGCAACAAACCGACATAACATCAGAATATTTATATGTATGCATATATACAATAGTAGCACTAGTAGTAATACTAATAATAAAGGTCTTTTTGCATATATACCCCTTAAATCTTCAATATTTGCAAAATTACCCCCAAGTCTTTGTATTCGCAACATTACCCCTCAATTCTTCTGCATTGGAAATTTCTACCCCATTGCAATGTGTGTTATGAGTAGTTAGTGACTGAAATTTCAAAACTACCCCTACCTATCAATTCTAAAAGATCTCTCTCCCAAACCAAGTATCCTCACCTTTTTCTTTTGAGAAGCTAATCCAAACATTTACGAAAATACAGTCGATGTCAGCTGAGGAGAGAAGTCGGGGCGAGAGGTTTGAGGTTGAGGCTATGTGGGATTTGATGCGGTGGGCATTGTTGAGGTTTGAGGAGGAAATTTAGGGTTGAGATTTGATGTTTTTGGTGGAGGAGCAGAGGCTGAGGTGAGGTGGGTGGAAGTAAGAAGGGGGGAGATGGAGGACTTTGAGGAAACATAGCTCAGTAGCTTAATGAGATATGTTTGTGTTCCAACCAAGGTAGATTGGCATCATTAGCTTCTAATAGATCTGTTCAAGTTTGTCCCAAGATGTTGAATCCTATGAATCTTGATGATTTGTTCTCAGCTAATTAGATCAGTCCATTTCTGTTACTCTGTGGTATAGTTCTATTCATCGAGGTGCTTTATTTTCTTGGCATAAAGAGAAGAATAAATTTGGAAGAGGATTAGTAAGGGGAAACAAGTGATATTTGTTATTAACTAACAGAGGGTATGTTAGTCACTATTAGAAATTGCAACCAAATTAACAAAATTGGGAATATATCAGGGACATTCGCTAACATCATAATTCATAAGTGAGGCAGAAAGGATAATTGGGGGGTAATTTTGCAAATATCAAGATCTGGAGGGCAAGTTTGCAAATATTGAAGATTTGAGGGGTTTATATGCAAAACCCCCTAACAACAACAATAACAACAGAGGTAGTTTATTACATGCCTATGTACACATGTTGATGCATCCAAGGTTGGCAATCATTCTTTATCATATAAAACAGACAATGATGATAGGACCTTTCACATATTTTTACCTTTGCAAGACATATAGGACTTAAGTATTCATATTGATGCAAAAAATAACTATATATATCTAAACTTTTAGTAGTTATATACAAAACATTATTGATGTCATTTTCCTCTTAAAGTATAGGAGGTGGGTGGTAGCTTGCAATCGGGTAGGTTGCAACTGCAATTATATGCAACTGCCCACTTTTTCCCAGTTGCTAGATTTCTTTTGGTAGCAACTAGATACTTGCACTTGCAAGAACAATCGCAAAAGCCCCCTTAGTTGCAAGATATGTGTTGCAGTGGGAAACGGCTGCAAGTTGCACTTACATTGAACAACTACAAACTCTTATAAGTTGCAATTTTAATCAGGCCGAGGTTCATGATGTCAGCAAGGAAATGGAGTTAGATCTCCTCAAACAGTATAGCCAGGTTTCATTTTTTGATGTTTTATCATTATTTTTTTATTTCTGTATATGTTTTTATTTTCTTTGGGTTAATTGTGATGTAAATAATCAGGTTGAAAGAATCTTCGCAGACAGAATCAGCAAAACCAGCAATGATGATATAGTACCAGAGTATTTAGTCAAGTGGCAAGGTCTCTCATATGCTGAAGCAACCTGGTAAGATTTGTATCCTGGGCTAATTTCCCAATCGTTGAAACAAAGGCTACAACTCTAGCCTATTTTTTATTTTTTGGATGGAGTTTAATGGAGTTAGTCAGTAATTCCAGTGTAACCCCCTTGCCACAGTTTTTGTTTGCTAAATGGGGTTAAGATATATGTATTACAAATTTCTGGAGAGGAAGTTACCAGAGATTGATGCAGAACATGGAGGGACCATTGGGGGGGCGGGCGGGGTCTGAGGAAAGGAGGCAGAAGAAGCGTCAACATGCCAAAAAGAAGGGATCAACGCAATCAATTAATAAAACCCTTTCATAATTAATTGTAATGCCACTCTATGCAATGTGATAAGTAGTAAAGGTAAAGGCGGAGGAAAGAGATAGCGATTGGGTGGGGGGGATCAAAGAAAAAGGAGCAAATATCAAATCAATCAAGATTAATCGATGCGATCAATTAATCAAATCTTTTCATAATTAAATGTAACACTGCAGGCATATGATTAGCTCATAAAAGACACATTTCCTGGTAAGCCACAACTCTAGTCAAAAAGGGACCTAAGTTGCAATGAAAATAGAGTCCACATCAATTAAAAAAAATTATATAGACAAAAGAATAAAAACCTTAAGACTTTGTAGGTTGTATCAGGTGGAGATAGTGAAGTCTAGAGTTTCTGGAAAGATTCCCATCAAGGGGTCACCAACTTTGAGTTTTTTTCGGTTGTTTGTATAACAGGGTTAGGATATAGGAGTTAACAATTTTGTGTTTGATTGTGTGATCAGGCCAATATAATATAGAGGTGGAGCTTTGTGTCCAAAAAATAGTGGTTTACAAATGATTTCTAGGTACATCCATGTTCCCTTACACCTTGTATCCTCTCAAGCTTTGGCTGTTTAGCTGGGATTAGCTGGAGTTAGACACTAGCTCTAGCTTAAGCTTACTCGCCAAACACAGCCCATTAACAAGCGTTATCAGACTGTCCACCTAATCAAGCTGCACGACCTACCATAGGTAGCTCGCTTTTTGTAGTTCCCTTGCGCATGATATGTGCATCTTAGAATCTGTGTCATAATTATTGCTAGGCATGTCTGTCTAGCTGCTGATGCTGGCTCTTAGAATGAAGTAGGCGGCTGCCTAAAGTGCCTAGGAGATTGATGAATCGAAGAGACTTTAGGTCTATACAATTAAGTGGCTTCCTTGGTCGCTGTCTACATCATATTGCTGAAATTGTATATTCATGAACCGACAATCAAGCTCCCAGACCTTGGGCGAATAATATGATATCTCGTCTAGCTAGGTTCCTGGCTCTTTTTGGTCGGCACCATTGCACATGATCTTCACATTTTTAATTCATATGAACTAATTACTTGTGGATTCATATGCTTCTTACATATCTGTCCTTGATGTTTTTAAGATCTAGTTTTAAGACCTCATTCCATTGTCAGTACATCCTAATAACACTTGATTTTCCATTTTCCGCATTCTATTCACCTTCTCATGCATGCGTGTGTGTGTGCATGCATGTGTTTTTCTGGAGATGATGCAGTGTTCAATTTAGGGGCTGTTTGGTTCATTTCCATAAAATTATGGAAATGTATTCTCTGACAAGAAACCATATTCAAATTTTTTTTAGGATTTCTAAGGAATCCAAAACTTGTGTTTGATATGGAATAATAAAGTAAAGAATAGGAAAACATATTCAAAACTCATGTTTGTTTCGTTTCAAAAAAGATATGGAAAACAACCTCTTGAATGAATTGGGTATTTGCCCAGAAATCTGCAACTCTTCTAACTTATCAAGGCTCTTGAGTGAATTGGGTATTTGCCCAGTAAGCAAATTATTCGAAAGGTTCAAAGATCTTAGGCTCACAATGCTAACAATAGGCAAAGGGATCGAGCTCTCAAACTTGTTCATGGACAAATCCAAGTACACAAGCTCGGCCAAGTCCCCAAATGAAGAAGGAATAGACCCATGAAACGAATTGGAAGAAAGATCCAAACTTCGCAATGAAGTGAGCTTAGAGATCAGATAGATGTTACCTATGAGCCCCAGCCTTGAGAGCTCAATCTTTTCAACGAACTGAGTTGATTTGTTACAAGTACACCTCGCCAGCAGCATAATCTCAGGGTTCCCCTCATAATTCACCAATTTCACAAGCAAAGGCCCCGTCATCGCCATCGGAAACCCTAGATCAGCATCATCCACACAAAAAGACAAAACCTTGCAGAGCTTCGTCAAGGACACGAGCACAGCGCTAGGGGCCGCATCGCCGGCGATGCCGGTGACGATGTGCTGGAACTTCGACTTGGAAGCTCCGTGGTGGGCCGCGTCCGAGTCGAAGGAGGGAACGAGAAAGAGAAAGGCGGTGTTTGTAACGAGGAAAGAGGAGAGCGGGATTGCTGAGCTGGACCAAAATGTCAGAAAGTTTGCCCATTTCCCAACTAAAATAGAGGAATTGGGCTTTCCATAAATTGGGCTGCCATGTCAGTTTATAAGAAATCTATTCTTAAAAAAGAGTTGAACCAAACGACAGTTTTGAAATCCTATAATGTCAAAAAACCTACTTTTTGTTCCAAAACTGTAGGATTCCTAAAAATTTGGCCCAACCAAACAGCCCCTTAGTAGACATCCATGTACAACACTTTGATATTTGTTATGGATTGTAAACTCACTAGTTGAAGTTGTGCATACTGGGATGAATGCTGTTGTAACTGTAAGGACAGTAGGTAAATTTGCTGGGAGGCAGAAACATTTCCTGTTCAATAGTTACAACAACGAGATACATGAATATTATCCTCTCGTATGTTTTTGTATCTCTATTGATAGCAATTGGTGTTTTTGTCTCACTACAGGGAGAAGGATACAGATATTGCATTTGCTCAGTACGCCATAGATGAATACAAGGTAAAATGGTCTTGCTCTAGCATATGCGTACAGAAACTGTAACTTACATTTCAATAGACAAGGCATCATCACATACTTTATTTAAATTCAGATTCTTGTACCTCTTCTTGAATTTTGTTGTATGGTAGTAATTTGGGTTTTCTGCACTGTGCCGAGATTGGCTATAAACACTGATCTTTCATTGACTACTCAAATGATACAAGAGAGTTAAAAGGGGAAGAGGGGAGTGATGTAGGTTCCTAGGATCAAATGTACCTTATGCCATGTTGGTCATTGCCTCGTATTCTCGCTGTGGTTGAACCTAACTGAATTGTTTATGGAATACGATTCGACATCTCTAAATCTCTATATAACTCGTTCACTTCTTAGCTACATTTCATTTTATCTTGAACTCATCAATTCACTTTTAGTAGTAGCAGCAGCAGAAGAAGGGGAAAATCAGTTGTGTTTATAACAAACTTCTCTTGTAATATTCCATAACCGAGAAACAACTATTCTTTTCTAGAGAGTGATCACCTTCTCATTTATGTTAATACATGTGCAAAGAACGAGTGCACCAGAAAGAGAGAAAACGAAATGAGTGCTTCATAAGATAAAGGAACTGTCCTATGAGGACAAAATGGGTGTGACTCAATTGGGATGGTTTGGTAAACAGGCCAGTAAATGCATCAAAGAGGAGAAATGGTAGGACTATAGTAAATGGAGAAAGGACTAGCAGTAGGCCTTAGAGAACTTGGTTGGAAGCAATTAGTATAGACATGATAGTGGTTAACTTAGTGCAGGTCAAAACCCTTTACATACTTGAATGGAAGATAAGATTCATATAGCGGAGCGCGAAAATTTGGTATAAAGACTTAGGCTGACACATGCTGGAATCATGTTTGAGAAGCACATGGTTTCCCATTTCCGAGATCATTTTTGATTCCTAGAACTATTTGTTGTGTAAATTGTTCGTGAGGGCTGTGGTTTCACTGACAAAGGACTAGGCGATTAGCAGGTCATTGCAAGGTGGGATTTTATTTGTTGGTGCTAAATTGGCTGCTGAATTGCTTATAAGAAGGGCGAGAAACTGAGGGAGGTTTTGTGGGGGATGGATCTTCACTGACTTGTGTAGCTTACATCTCATATAAGGAATTTTCATCATTTCAGTTTTGCTCTTAATTTGTTTATTCTTTTATCTCTGCTTATGATTATTACATACTCTTATTTTTACGTGAACTGTTTTGCTTTGTGTTCAACATTAAATCATATATCATTATGACGCAGTCGTGAAGAAGCCATGACTATGCAAGGAAAGATGGTTGATTTCCAACGGAGGAAAAGCAAAGGTTTTGTGTCTCATGCGCTTCTATTTTTATAAATTTCCTATTCGAATGTTACGTGGGAAGGTAAACTAACTAATTGTATTTTAACTGGATTCTATTACTAGCAGATTACTTATTAGGTTGTACAGTGTAAACAAAGTCCGTAACTATGCTTGCTCAGAGTGAGTTACCTTCTATATTTAAGTTCCTATATGATTAAGTCAGAGACATCTTCAAGGGAGATGACTTTTTTACTATAGGTTTTCTGGTCTTTACATCTTTTGACGTTCTGATTCACTGGTATGTATAAGCATGCATTAGTTTGAAAGGAACAATATTTGTATCATTTTTACTCTTTTGTAGGATCGAGTTAGAGACACTTCCTTCTCATTTTTATGATAATTGGGCTCTCTACAGCACCTTAACCTTGTGAACTTAAAATATGAATGTCCATAGCAGCATGAGCACATTCCAGCACTGGCTTCCATGTTGCACTTGCACACTCTCAAATCTCAATACTCAGAATACATTGTAATTCTATAATTTTGGCTGAATAATCAAGTTCCATCTTCTTATCATTCTCTATAAAAGGGAACAGTTTAAAGTTGATGATTTGTCAGAATAACTAAGAATCAAGCAGATAATCGTATCATGTGCAAGATTACCCTGTAATAGAAAGATCATTGGTTAACATCTCAAAGTTTTGATATTTCTAGTGATGGATTGAAGTCAGGATTGTCATTATTCTTTATCTGTTTAACTCTGTACTATGAGTTTATTCAGATGTTACTTTGCTTTTGTTGACTTTAATTCACTGCTTTACAAAAAGGTATATAATCTTATATAATCTTTTTGTCTGCTTGTGAACTTTATTACTTTTCTTTCACTGTTTATAACTTATATATCCTTTTGTACTATGTAATCAGTTGATAGGTGCATAATTTGGTTTTTGCCTCCTCTTTTCAGCTAGCCTACGGAAGCTTGATGAGCAACCTGAATGGTTGAAAGGTGGCAAACTTCGCGATTATCAGCTTGAGGGCTTGAATTTTCTTGTTAACAGGTATCTATGGATCTATCCTCTTTCAACCAGTTACGTATTACACTTTTTGACAAAAAGCTAATCTTCTTTGTATGTCTACCAATGATTATCTTTGTCATGCAGTTGGAGGAATGATACAAATGTTGTTTTAGCTGATGAAATGGGTTTAGGTAAAACTGTTCAATCAGTTTCCATGTTAGGTTTCTTGCAGGTTTGCTTCCCTTAAACCCCAAAGTCTGTTTTCTTCTTATATCATGTTTACATATTTCTTGTTTCTAAGACATTCCTCCACATTCCTTTCTCATTCCAGAATGCTCAACAAATTCATGGGCCTTTCCTTGTTGTTGTACCTCTTTCAACCTTGTCAAATTGGGCAAAAGAATTCAGGAAATGGCTTCCCGAAATGAACATAGTCATATATGTTGGCAATCGTGCCAGTAGAGAGGTGATTCATTTTGTTCTTTGTATCACTAATAGTATTTACGAGCAATACGTTACATATTGGATGAGGTGTCTAGTAATTCAGTTGACACCTAAGTAAAAATGTAGTGACGATTGAAAATGGCTGCCTTTGTCTTATCTTGTTTATGAAATTTAGCTTGTTGATATCACGTATCATAATCTTTAGACAACACAAATGTTAAAAGTTACTGAATCATAATGATAGTGATCTATATGCCATTGGGAGCCTGAATTATATGGGTGACTACATTTTGCTATGTCTAAGTGCATATCCATTTCTTTCTCAAAACATATGCACCTTCATGAGGCACTTATGTTATCCATATCATGTTTGGTTCAGTATTTCATTTTATAATAAGACTTTGTTAGGTTCCTATGTTACTCATGCTTGGAATGATAAACATGTTTTCCTGGCATTGCTTTTTCACAATTTAGTCACAAGTTTGTGCTTCCTGGAGATACTTAGGAAACAAATTGTGCATGTTGTATTTATATATTTGGGGTAGATATTAGTCAAAACTTGCTTGTGCTTTTGCAAATACGTGCATGAAGATTTATTAAATTTCCCAGTATTAGAGTAATAATTGTGTAGAGTGCTAGTGCCTGTGTAAATGAATTTGATGATAAAAGTAGTATGGGTTATAGCTCACTCAAATCTTCAACAATTTCTTAATAAACTCACACTTAAAATAGATGCATACTAATGTATAGACTTCAGACCAGTGTTTTGTAGCAGCAATGGACCCGGTGGTTGGCTACTCGTCAAGGCTTTAATTTCAGATTATACAATACCCGCTAGTTGATTTTATCATTTTATTTTCATTTTTTTCCTATAAATTTGTGCATGATTTGTTTATTTATTTTTGTCTGAAAGCAGATGTGCCAGCAATATGAGTTTTACACTGGAAAGAAGACTGGCAGACAGATAAAGTTTAATGCATTGTTAACTACATATGAAGTCATACTGAAGGACAAAGATATCCTCTCGAAGATTAAATGGAATTATCTTATGGTTGACGAGGCTCACAGATTGAAGAATAGCGAAGCATCTTTGTACATTGCTCTATCAGTATGCATGTTATTGCACTCTCTTCTGTTATGTTATTTCTCTGTGTGTGGTTTGACAATTTCACTTTGGGTAATCTTTTAAGTGGCATGTTTTTATTTTCTTTACAGGAATTTAACACAAAAAATAAGCTTCTTATTACTGGTACTCCATTGCAGAACAGTGTTGAAGAGCTATGGTAATTGCTCTTTCTGCATAAATTTTCAGTTTGAAGCATACATGCTAAAATTCAAAACTCTGTCTCATGCTTGCCAGGCTTATCTACAAATATTTTATTTTGTGATATGGATCATTACTTCCGTATGGTTCATCACCTTTCGTTTAAGAGTGATTAGGATGATATGTTATAAGATAAAACACAATTTTTTTTCTTTTAAAGGAAAATTTGGGCCATGCGTTCTGATCCCTCTCTTTGGCTATTAGTTGGTATTCGTAAGAATGATTTGTCATCCTTTTAGTATATGACAAATTTTCATTTTCAACCATTTTTAAAATTTATTTAGCATTTTCGACCTACTTTGCACTTATTTATCACTTTCGACCTAGTTTCAACCACCTATCAGAAATTGGGTCGAAATTGATAAATAAGCGCAAAAAACTTCGCAGGATTGAGAATCCCATGTAGTTCAGTAGAAAATTAAACTACACGGGATTCTCAATCCCGTGTAGTTTAGAACTAGGCTAAACTTCACGGGATTGTTTATCCCGTGAAGTTTATAATGACTAAACCACACAGATTGACAATCCCGCGTGGTTGGCTACATGGTTAGCTCATTGCCATATAAGTTATATTCCTTTAAAAGGTCATGGGTTTGAATCCCAACCATGTAATATTTTTTTTAATGTTTAGGAAAAAAAATGTCTGTTGGTTATCATGAGATTCAAACTCAAGACCACTTGAATAATTGAAATTTATCTTTCTTGGGGTTAACCACTTGGCCAACTATTGTAATCACACAAAATTTGAACTTGAAATTATATATTGATTCCCTAAACATAAAAAAAATATTACATGACTTGGATTTGAATCCATGACCTTTTAAAGGCATGTAACTTATGTAGTAATGCGAACCATGTAGCCAACTGCACGGGATTGTCAATCCTATGTAGTTTATTCATTATAAACTTCACGTGCTTCACAATCCCGTGAAGTTTAACCTAGTTCTAAATTACACGGGATTGAGAATCGCGTGTAGTTTAATTTTCTACTTAACTACACGGGATTCTCAATCTTGTTAAGTTTTTTGCTCTTATCTATCAATTTCGACCTAGTTTCTGCCGGAATGGTAGAAACTAGGTCGAAAATGAAAACTTGCCCTTTAGTATATGCAGCTGCACTTCAGCTACCTGATATTTCTATCAAAGGGAGTTTTATTAAGGACATGACAAATGGCTAGATTTCTCATAAAGGCTGTTTAATGTGTCATTTGTAGTTTTGTACGCTTCATATGTATCAGGCTTCTTGTGACTCTGAATACACTTTTGTGACACATCACTCGCACATCTTTAGTTGTATAAAAAACGATGCCCCCTATCTACTTCATACTGTACTTATTTATGGTAAATGTTGAAAGTGTCAGTTATCTATACTACTTATAAAAGAGAATACCCATGTCAAAACTTTTGATTTCCTTTTTTACCCTCTTAATTTTTTATAACTCAAAATTATACCATTAATTATAAAACTAATGATCCATAACCTCTCGTTAACTATGCACCTTTTCATTTTCTCAAATTATTTGGTCATTCACTAGAATATATTAATAATTTATAATCTTTTCATTTTCTCAAATTATTTGGTCATTCACTAGAATATATTAATAATTTATAATGATAACAAAATTCATGAATATATGATAATTTATTAACTAGAATATATTAATAATTTATAATGATAACAAAATTCATGAATATATGATAATTTATTATAAAGAATTTTAATTATATAAAATAGTAAAAGTCATTCATTTAATAAATTATTGTACATAATTATAATTATTAATAATAGTATAAATAGGGGTTATTTCTTTATGTTTTAAAGAATATTACCTTGTTCGATAATTAATATCATCTTAGTAATAAAATTTTGGATGTTATAAGTTAAAAATACTTTTATTTTAGAAAATTAATATATATAAAAAAATTTGGATCCTTGAAATTTATTAGACGTATACTTTTCTCTTCTTTTCTTGAAAATATTTGGCCACTCGCTAGAATATACTAATAATTTATAATGATAATAATATTAATAAATATATTATAATTTATTATAAATAATTATTAATTGTAATGAAATAGTAAAATTATTTATTTAATAAAATATTATACATAATTATAATTATTAATAATAGTATAAATAGAATTTTTATATTATAATGATTTTTACCCTTTACGATATTATAATATCATTTAGACATAAAAATTGGACATTATGAACACAATGCAATAAAATATTGGATCTTTGAAATTTATGAGTCATGCACTTTTTGTTGGAAAGTAAATATCTCATATATTTCAAGGATTCAATATTTTAGTATAAATTAATTTTTTTAAATAATAGTATTTCTAATTTATACCATCCAATTTTTTATTACTAAGACGATATTAACTATCGAACAAGGTAATATTCTTTACAACATAAAGTCATATAATATTAAAAATTATTGCCATTATTTAATAGATATTGTAATAAAATATGTACATGACATAAATATTTAATAATTTAAATGGTTTAGTTATATCAATAGTGTTACTTAAACTAATGATTACATTATTGTTTAATAATTATACTCCTAAATAAATTGTTTAATAATATAATAATAGAAAATTTTAAATAACTATTAAATGTATGTTAATAATAGTATAAGTACTAATATTAGTATAAGCTAATCATAGTGCAATACAATAATTTTTAATGGTTATATATAATTTATTAAATAATATAATATTAAATACAACAACATATTCACGTGCAAAGCACGTGCATTATACTAGTTTCAATAAAAGTATACTTTACTGGACTAATTAATTATGCTGGTTCTTGAGTGTGCTCAGACACATATAACCACAACAAATACACCGAGCTCAATTCATTGCTTCCAACCTAGATAATCTTCAATACATGAGGGATTTACTGATGTATGGTGGAGGGGACATGACACGAGGAGTTATGCTTATGCTTCATTTGTTACGCTTGAATGAGTGGCAATGGAATGCTCATTCCCACTTCTCGTTCATGCGTATTAAACACATCTTTTTGGAAGTTGGAGTGCTTATTCCCACTTTTCATTCATTCCCAGTTTATGTGGGAATGAGCATTCCCAATGAGATGGTAGGGAATGCTCATTCCCACATTAGTGCGAATAAAAACTTTAAAATAAATACTAAATATGATTTGATTATTTATTAATTATCCATACCAAGGATAAAAAAGATTGTCGTACTCACTTCATTCTCTTACGACGCCTAAACGTGAGAATGATAATGAGCATTCCATTCCCACACGTATTCCATTCCATTTCTTATTTTATTCCGTTCTTAAAATGATTCAGTGACGCCCCTAGGTTCACACAAGGCTGCAGTCCAAGGTGAAATCAAGAATGTCAAACCTGTCATGCACCACACCGTGTAATAACATGTTTCACCATCACAATGACTATCTCTCTAGTAGAGTCAATAAAAGGTGTAGGTACAAAAGCAGGTAAAAGATAATACGAAAATCAACAGATGAAATAATAGAGGTCAAATTGATATCCCATCATCTAGCATACTGAAGAACAAGTCAATGTCTGAAATAAATAAACTGAGGTACTCAACAAATCTCAAATACAGAAAATATCTGACAAGAGAAAATAAGGCACACAGTCTTTACAACTTCTAGAATAAAACTCTCATATGTCTAAACAAAAATCTACAGTGAAGTTCAAAAGTAAAATACAACTAAATAGACAGCTGAAGCTAAAACGCATCGTCATCAACCTGCGACTCTCCGGACTCCTGGCTCGTTACTTAAAAGGGGGAGAGACAACGAGCGTCAAAGCGCTAGCGAGCAACATCACAACCAATCCCAAGAGATAGGGCTGGTTGTATATGAAAATACAGTTAACACATAATAATATAAAATCGTTTATCCTAACAATAGTGGGTTTTAGTACTTAGGAAATTACAACACGAGCATAGGTACGTTGAGCAAAATAATCCAAACAAGAAAACCCTCATGTATATACTTTGTATCTCAAATTGTAAATCCCTAAGTACCAAACCCGGAGTCTAATACATGAACAATAAAGAAAAGAAAAATGAACCCATCTCTACCGATAAACAAAGTCATGTCAAAGCCACAATAAGTGTCACGTCCAGCCTAGGTAGCTATCATGTCCCAACTTCATGAATATGTCATGCTCCAAACTCGGTTATGTATCATGCTCAAGGTTTAGCAAATGTCCAACACATGGACTAAATGATATGCATGTCCAACACATGGACTGAAATGATAAGTGTCCAACACATAGACTAATAGTAATGTATGTCCAACGTAGGGACCATAAGTAAAGATGTGCAACTGTCGAAAGTATATGCGGAAAGATACACATATCCTAAACTCGCACGTGTCTCGATGTACAGGTCTAAACTTGTGTTAAAAGTCAACTCACATGTACAGATAAATCACTAACATTGTAAACTTGTGTCAAATAATCGAGGCGACCCTGAAAAGTAACTCAAACAGATCAAGAATCTGTAAAATACCTCATCAGTCGACTCATGTGTCGACTGATTGTATCAGTCGACTCATTGGTCGACTGATAAGATCAGGCAGAACAGCCTCAGCTCATCAATCGACTGATCGGTCGACTGAGGAATTGAGAAAATAAAATTTAGCCCGTCAGTCGACTGATAGCTGGAAAAATTCAGCCCGTCGGTCGACTGATCAGTCGACCGAACGGCTGCAGAAAACCTGTTTGCAGTTGATTATTTGCAATACTATTTATCTAAAATCATCATCATAAATCCCAAGCATAAAGATACTGATTTTAACATATATATATATACTAAACTGAAACGAAATTTCACATGTAAATACATAAACAAAACCCTAAACATATGCATTCATGCTTTAAAAACGTTTTGAAAACAAAACTCGTGTTTAATCTCTCATTAAAACATTACAGATCTAGATCTTTGATTTACAAAACGTTGGTGAGTTTTTTTTAAACATTCTGAAATAACATATCTTCACATTATATGCTATAAAAATCAAACCTTTGTACACAAAAATACGTTTTTGGCTCATCAAAACTCATAAAAATCATTTGAAAACGTTTAGAAATATGGGACAAGGTTGGGCGAGATGTTACTCGCCTCAGGGGTGATGGAAAGCTTCTGGATCTGCGAGAGAGTGGTTTCCCCTTTGCTGCAACGTTCGAAACCCACTGAAAATCCTCCGAGTTCTCCCCAAAATCACTAAGAACAAACCTAGGGTTTGAGAGAGGAGAGAGGGGGCTAGGGTTTCTCAGATCTGGTGATGAGAGGGGGTGTTTTCGGGTAGAGGAGATCATATATGAACAGTCAGACCCGACCCAAAACCCGAACCAGTCAAAACAGACCCGAAACCTGGAAAAACTGGAAAACAGCTCGTCAGTCGATTGATCGGTCGACTGATCTCGTCAGTCTTCCTGATTCGTGCATGTTTTGCTCATTTGCAAAACCAACGCACAAAACTCTATATACATACACTCATATCATCTCAAAATAACTTGTTATCATGTACATCTATGACCTCAAGCTATTTATCACAATATTTCACATATATACATAAAAAAAAATACGGGGTTTTACAGATTCCCACGTACCAAAGGAGGTGTTAGTGATTATGATCATTAATGCTCGTTTTCAAAACATACTTCTTTGATGCACACATGCATATTCTGGTTGTCTGTTGTGCAGTTACCTGTCTGTAACTAATTTCACATGTCTACGAGTGATTGCTTTTACAGGGCCCTTCTTCACTTCCTTGACCCTGTCAAGTTCAACAGTAAGGATGTTTTTGTCGAGAACTATAAGAACCTGAGTTCTTTCAACGAAATTGAGGTTTGCAATATCCTGAGTCTGCTCTTCATCAATCCTTCTTTATGCTTATGATACTTTTTCATCTTTGCTATGCAATTACACTCATTTTTCTCTATATGCTAATGCTTTTGTTGGATTGCTGTGCAGCTTGGTAATCTTCACAAGGAGCTGAGACCACACATTCTCAGAAGAGTCATCAAGGACGTGGAGAAGTCTTTGCCTCCAAAAATTGAGCGCATACTTAGGGTGGAAATGTCTCCTCTTCAAAAACAGTAAGACTTCTGTAGTTTCATAGCTGCTCTTTAGAGAGGGGAAAAGAAAGAAAGAAAAAGATCTTTGGCTGATGCCTCTGCATATTTTTATATCTGGTTAGGTATTACAAGTGGATTTTGGAAAGGAATTTCCAAAGTCTGAATAAAGGAGTTCGTGGAAATCAGGTTTGTAATATAACTACATTAATCTGGCTGTAGTTAGCGAAGTTTCATGTGAAAATGTTTTTTCCCTCTGGAAAAGCTTCTCTATGTTGAAAACTTCATTCAAAAGAAAATGGGCAAAGAACCTTATATTTTAATAAAATCTTTTCAAACTTGATACTTTTTACATTTGTTGAAAAGAATTTTTTTCTTGTAGTTTTCACAACTTATTTTTATTATTCAGATTTGATTGTGATTTAGTCATAGGTCTTTGTTAAGACCTACTTATCCATCAAGCATGTCTGAAAGCGAGGTAATAAACTCAAAGTTATTTGTATTTGATGATATTGAATGACACTCTTTTCTGAATACATACACACACATACAACCACATTTAGGTGATTTGACACAGAAATTTGGCATATATATAGTGTTTCTACTTTTTACATTCTTCGTTGGAAACTGAGCCGTTTTAAAAATGATTCATTAGTTTTCAGGTATTTTAATCTCTCCATTATTTTCTCTTTTTGAATATACATTTTTTGTCCAATTTCCTTTCTTAACAAAGACTATATCCCATGTTGCTAACTATGTTTCGATGAAGCGGAGTTTGTCTTTACATAGTCTTGTTAAAATTTTACTTTTACTATTTAGGATATAATGTTTTCTCTAGAAAGCAACCCTATGCATTAAGGTCGTACTGTTTTGATATTTTAAGATATAGTTTGCTGTCCATGACAAAAGAATATACAGTGGAATCAGATATTTTAAAAATTAGGATTAATTACATTCCGGTTCCCTGTGGTATCATGTAATTACACAGGTGACACAGGTGACCCTAGGTTTGTGTATCTACACAGATAACCCTGAGATTACTGATTGATGTCACACGGGTAACCCTTACTACCCCTAAGAGTAATTTCACCAAGGTTGTGTAATGTCAGTAGTAATCTCAGGGTTATCCCTGTAGATACACATACCCAGGGTCACCCGTGTAATCACACCATACCACAGGGTACCAAACTGTAATTAATCGTAAAAAATTATTGACATTGTTATACATGAAATTTATATTTGTGGTATTCATATAGATAAGTTGATTACATGTGTGCAGCAGTTTACCTATAAGAATCTAGCTCTCGTAGTTTAACTAATCTAATGGTGATACTCCTTGTTGAATTTATGACTATAAAACTAATGGTTACAGACATTAGCTAGGCGTAGTTTATTTTGGAGGCTTTTCTATTCTGACATTACCTATCTGCAGGTTTCACTCCTAAACATTGTTGTTGAATTGAAGAAATGCTGCAATCATCCTTTCCTATTTGAAAGCGCAGATCATGGTTATGGTGGAGATACCAGGACCACTGATAGTGGTAAAGTTGAGCGCATGGTTTTGAGCAGTGGAAAACTTGTAATACTTGATAAACTATTGATAAGGCTGCAGGAGACAAATCATCGAGTGCTAATATTTTCTCAGGTTTCCTTCTTACTTGATCCTTGTTTATACAATTTTATATATTTTGTGATTATTATTACTTGTGGCATAATTAATATGCAGCAATTCTCATTTCCATCTTTGTGTGTAGGTTTCAGCCCTTTATTGAGGTTTCTATTGTGAACTATGATTTAGAAAACAATGTATAAGAATGCATTACATTCGAGTGGCAGTTACTAGCTTATTACTGCATTACAAATTTTATGTGTTAGGGCGTTCTTGCAGTGTATAGATAGACTTGTAGGGAAGTAGCATTTCATGCAATACTAGCTGACTAATTTTTTAAGTATTTTAGAACCAATATGTTAATCAACTTCGTAAATCTCCTAGCATGATTTGCCAAGTTGATTTTATGCATCTATTTTTTATTTTTATGCCATAATAGGACTTTAACCTTTTATTGTAGCTACATTTGTTCTATAAGTTTTAGACGTAAAATCTTCTCCTGTTTTCTTGACAGTCATTCTTTGTTCTCCTTTTCTCCTTTTCCTTATTCTTTAATTTTTATTATATGTTCAAAACATAGAAAATATATATATTTTGTCGTAGGTCACGACGAGAGGTTATTTAACTCATTACTTTCGAGGACTGTAGGAGAACTTGTTACACCATAAAAGCTTCTTTCATCAACATAGGGCTAGCGGTGAAGCATAACCAAGTTATTTCTCGTAGAAAGAGTTGATTATTATTCTGAGCTTAGCTTCTGGTTGCTGCTAAAGTCCTTTAGAAAACTATGACCAAATAAATGCCTCATCACAGAGCCAGACAAATGCGCTAGAATGTCTCCACACTATCTTTTTGCTGTTATAGTTAAAGCTCATGTGGCTGAGGAGTAAATGTTCAGAACGGTCTGGAAGTAATTAAAAAAAATACTAGAAGCCTTACTAATTAGTTTGCTAAGACCTCCGATATGCATGTTATAAAAATAGAAATCAGAAACTACTGACCTTCAACTATATACTAGCATATAATGTTGTAGTGTCACTGTATAACTGAACTTGCATTAGCGTTCATACAACCTATAACGCTCATATTTACTCTGGACCCAAGAATGATTCTGGTGATGGGCAGACTGCTAATATATACTTTCATTTATTTTTGTACTTTCATAACATTTTTATACATTTCATTGTGAATAGCTTGATACTGTTTTTTTGGCATGAAATGTTAGCTTTTCAGTACCAAGAATAATACAGACTCTTATCTGTATACCTGTACATGATAGGCACAACAATCATCTACAACAAGAAAATGAAAAACTGTACAATCGCTATGAAAAATTTAGAACAGCAAACGAAGAAAACAGATCTAAACATTATCAACCCCAAAAGGATGCATACTCATTGCATGACCTGACCATCGAGGGCAGTTCACCTTCCTTTAATCCATGAATAGTGGTTGAATCTTGAACTTCTCACACAATAATCTGTTACTAGGTGTATCTAACATTTTGTCAACCTTGCTCAGCTGGATATCTTGCTACTTACTTTGGACCAATATAAACAATATATGGAACTTTGCGAGATCAATTTAGATATTGGTGTCGTGTATTTTAAGCTTTAGTTTAATAGATATTCAACTAGAAGTTATGAAGGAAATAGTGCCTCCTTGATTAATAATATAATAAACAGAGAGAAGGGTGAGATTGTTCATTTGTAGATGGAACACTAGTTACCTGAAAGTATGGGTACATTAATTATAGTATCACATGGATACTTATTAAATTATTTTCTTTAAAAGGGTGATACATATACAAAGGTTTACAAGCACACAAACATACCGAGCAACCAGTTTTTGAACTAGTTTTAAAAGCCACATGACTAAATCTTTAGAAATGTAATGGAAAAGTTTGACAAATGAGAAATTTTCATCAAGCTAGTCTATGCGTCCACATGAAAGAAGCATTGCATGGAAAACCAGCATGGAGTTCCAATGGAACAACACATTTAATGTGACATGGATTAGTAATCTGCAATTTACCAGCATCCTTGATATGTCATTCATCTACCATAATTTGAGGATGTTTTATCAAATAAATTGATCCATTCCTTTAGAACAGCTATAGCTTAGTTGTATTGTTTTGATTCATGGCGTTAAGATCTGGATTAACATTATTTTTAGTAGTATGTATCCCTCAACGCTTTTCACAACTTCAGAGTTTTGGTGTAATGGAGAGCGTTTTGAGATGATATAAAGACATCCATGTTCAAATGCAGTTCAACATGTACTTAAAGAAAAAAAGAAATGTAAGGCTGTGCAAAACCAAGGCTTTGATGTATTAAAAGGGCCTCCATCTGCAGTGAGTTTTAGGATATTCATTTTTATCCCTCAACCTCAACAACAAAGTTTTGGTGCAGAGCTTAAGAAGTAGAATAGTGCAGTGAGTACTTTTGCACCATGACAGTTTAAAACTAACTTAATAACAGCAAAGTTCAAAGCAATGCCACTGTTGCAAGCTAGACTGCACCGGTGAAATTGAAATTATCTAGTTGAAGGCCTCTAATAATTGTAACCTATGTTACGCAGACATGGGTGTGGGTACAGACACAAGATATTTGTTGAAGGTAGGGTATGGGACCCGACTATGTGTGTGTTTTTTGTGTGCATGCATGTTATTCAAAAATTAATTATTTATGTGAAATGAATATTGTTTTTTCATTCACATGTTATGAAATTTGAAATTCCTATAGCAATTTGTTTTTGTCCGTTTCTTTTATTACGTAGATTATAAATTAGAAAACTGTATGTTATTGAACTTGATATCTACAGGCCTTTTAAATCATAGTTCTGAAGTAGACAGAGGCTGAAATGAACCTCATATGTCCAATCCAATGTGTTTAAACAATTGATGTGAAGTGTATGGCATATGTCCATGAAGTCTTAGACAAATGTGTTATATTAATACAAGTATTTTTTAATTGAATACATGTCTGAAATAAATGTATGCATATATCCAAGAAGTGTGCTGGAGAAAGTGTTGTTGCCCGGTACGAGCATGGTCAAGTTCATTATAGAAATACCTATGCGTTGTAGATTGTACCCATGTGCTTTTGTTCAACTTCTGGACCCTAGCCAATCGTTGTTCAGTGAAAATCTAAAATAAGTTATCATGTTCTTGAAGCATTCTCAAGTGGAAAAAATTCTACATATTATTTTTGGTAGGCTCCAAGTGGTAGTGAGAATATTCTGTTATTGGCTCACATCGACCAGAGGTGCATCTTTACGAATTACATGTTTCTGACATGTTAACGTGTTATATATTTGTTGCATTAATTACTGAACAAGCAAAATGCATTCTTATATCCTGAAATAGAATCTAATGGAAGTCCAAAACTTTGTTAATAACCTTTAGGTGAATTTATTTGCTTTTCCTCTCCTCTCTCCTTCTGTGCATGCAATTTAAAATTATTTTCCATGTTTTTGTGGCTTGGTATGTATTCATTGAGCTTGGTCTAGAGTTTGAAAAGATCGATGTGTATGAGTAAAATAGTAATAATTGCCTATTATGCAGATGGTGCGGATGTTGGATATTCTCGCAGAGTATTTATCACTTAGAGGATTTCAGTTTCAGAGGCTTGATGGCAGTACAAGGGCTGATCTCCGTCATCAAGCCATGGAGCATTTTAACGCACCTGGCAGTGATGACTTTTGCTTCCTCCTTTCCACACGTGCAGGCGGATTAGGAATTAATCTTGCTACTGCAGATACTGTCATAATCTTTGACTCAGATTGGAATCCTCAGAATGATTTGCAGGTCTGTGAATCTAGTGTTTACAAGTTCCTTTATGCATTGTACTTTGGTTTTCTCTCAGTTTCATGTCTATGTGCATATTTCCATGTAACAGTGTACATGTTTAACTACAGGCAATGAGTAGAGCTCATAGGATCGGGCAGCAAGATGTTGTAAACATTTACCGATTTGTTACCAGCAAAAGTGTTGAGGAGGATATACTGGAGCGTGCAAAGAAAAAGATGGTATATGTCTTATTTTTAATGCATTTTTCTGCATTTTCTATGTTTTAGTAGTTGTCCACATGCATAACTTTTAATTTTACATCCACAGGTTCTTGATCATCTGGTGATTCAGAAGCTAAATGCTGAGGGCAGACTGGAAAAGAAAGAATCAAAGAAGGGAACATCTATGTTTGACAAGGTAATTAAAAAAGGAACTGTATGTTAGGCTTTACCATCTTTAGATATATGCCAAAGAAAGAATCAAAGAAGGGAACATCTATGTTTGACGAGGTAATTAAAAAAGAAGCTGTATTGTTGTCATACACTTGTTCTCTCCGTCAGTGTCAGCATCCAGATGCTACCTGTATGGCTGTATCTATGTGTACTATTCTTCTTTTCCTATGAACATTTTTTTAGTGTCTTGTCTTGAGTGATATTAGTTTTATGACTAGTGTATGACAACTATTGCAGAATGAGCTTTCGGCAATACTGAAGTTTGGAGCGGAGGACTTATTTAAGGAAGATAAGGATGACGAGGAGAGCAAAAAGAGACTTGAAAGCATGGATATAGATGAAATTCTTGAGAGAGCTGAGAAAGTTGAGGCTAGGGGGGACGATGAGGAGCCTGGAAGCGAGTTGCTTAGTGCTTTCAAGGTTAGATCTTTTGTTTTTCCAAGCTAGGATTGAGAAAATTCTGCTTGATGGCAATTTGATCATTTGTTCTTTCCCTTTTGCATTCTAGGTTGCCAATTTCGCCAGTGGTGAAGATGATGGGACATTTTGGAGTCGATTGATCCAACCAGAAGCTACAGATCCTGCTAATGTAAGGAACATCACAGGGACTTACTCTACCATCACCATCGTATTCGTTTTACTGTAAGTTGTTTTCGACTGAACGTGGCTGGTGTGAAGCCAAATTATGAGGAACCACAGAGAGAATGTGTAATACCCCAACCCTTGAGAGGGTGATGTGATTAGTATTGATAGATTTGATTGGAATACTCATACCATCAAGATGCATCTTCTTTTCGGGAACCCAACTCTTAGAAACTCCAAAATTAAGCGTGCTTGGCCTGGAGAAATTCTAGGATGGGTGACCCCCTGGGAAGTTTTCTAGGGAGCGCGTGAGTGAGGACAAAACGTGCTGAAAAGACATGTGGTGGTTTGTGAGGCCAGTCCATCAGATCTAATAGCGTACTGACTCCGGGATTCCGGGGCGGAGCGTTACAAATGGTATCAGAGCCAAGCCAACCGGAATTGTGAGAGCTAAGTGCTATGCGGCACAAAGTGCTACGTCGAGAGGGCGGGAGCCACCTCTTGAGGCCGTAGGAGCCACCTCTAGAATCTCACACGGATGGTACAGTTTTGGATGATATGATTTGGCACAACGAGGACGTTGTGAGTTTAAGTGGGGGAGTATGTAATACCCTAACCCTTGAGAGGGTGATGTGATTAGTATTGATAGATTTGATTGGAATACTCATACCATCAAGATGCATCTTCTTTTCGGAACCCAACTCTTAGAAACTCCAAAGTTAAGCGTGCTTGGCCTGGAGAAATTTTGGGATGGGTGACCCCCTGGGAAGTTTTCTAGGGAGCGCGTGAGTGAGGACAAAACATGCTGAAAAGACACGTGGTGGTTTGTGAGGCCAGTCCATCAGATCTAATAGCGTACCGACTCCGGGATTCCGGGGCGGGGCGTTACAGAATGATTCCTTTTAATGGACGAGTAAAAAGTTTTCAGTCTTGTACACTATTTTGTATATGTAGACAGAGATGACAAAGCAGATTGTCCAAAAGATGGTTTACCATGGAGTTTTTATAATACTTATTTTGATAGCCAGTTTCAACTTTCACCTGAAGTTCTCCACACATGCCCACGCGCACAAACATATTATCATGTATGTATGCACATATGTATTTATGTGTATATGCTGTTATTACTTGTTAATAGCTGATATTGTTTATTTTCTTATCATCCAGGAAGCACTCGCTCCTCGTGCTGCAAGGAATATCCAGAGTTATGCGGAAGATGACCAGCTTGAGACGAGTAATAAACGGAAAAAGAGGGGTCTAGAGCCTCAGGAAAGACCTCAAAGACGCTCAAGCAAAGGCTCTGATTCTGTGGCCCATTCCTTGCCCATGATCGAGGGAGCTTCTGCTCAAGTTAGGGGCTGGTCCTTTGGGAACTTGAAAAAGAAAGATGCTTCCCATTTTGTTCGTGCGGTATGTGTTGCTTTACCTTTATACACTCATTCATTAATAATTTTTTCATACTAGTCCTACTAATATTAAACTACTTTTGCAAAGAAAACTGAGCTGATATAGACTACGCCTTTCAGTATGAATTGTTACTTGGACTTCAGTGCATCATATTTTTCCTGATTTTTCACTGGGAGGAATTATGGTGCATTCTAAAAGGGCCTAGGCAATCCTACAAGTCGTTTGATCTATGTTTATGACACATGTGGCTGCAAGTTTTTGCAGCAAGTATGTGGTGAAATGCTAGCTTTTCAATTTTTATGCTAGAGTAAGCTACCTAAAGTGTTCAAGAAATGCTTGTTGTAAATGTACTTTTGCTTTTTCTTCTGTGTGGCAACATGGATTTTACACCATATTATAAAATTTAGAAGCTAATATAGTTATTTTTAAATATAAGAGAAAAAAGAGTATCAAAAAAGTTGCGGATATGCTTGGTAGTATTGATCTGTGTTTTGTAGTGGCCTCCTGCTTGAGTCAGACCTATATCCAGGACCTCAATTGATGTGAGAATATTGCTGACGTTATTGGGTAATCTAACATTCTGTCAAACCATGGAGTTAAATATGAATTAGATTGTCCTTCTATTGACAACACGAACTGCAAGGCTTATATACTTTACTGGCTATAAGTTCAGAAATGTTATATTGTGTAGATGATGCTATCTCCAAAGGGTGTTCAGTTTTCACAATGAATAGGATGAGTGAGAGCTTGATGGCTGCCATTATATATTTTGTGGTTTGTCTACTTGACTTAAAATATTAAGGATTATGCAGATGAGATTGGTGATAGATAGACTAAAACTACTGCTTTTTGTTATCAGAAAACTGGTGTGTAATTGGAGGATCGTTGTTAGAAATTTTTGATTCTTTATCTTAAGATAGTAAAAACCATATATTCATATAATTACCCGGATTATTACCCGGAGGAGGTGCTTTTTGTTTTGTTGTACTATGAATGCCAGATTGCAATCCAGGGTATAATTATGAGCACTCTGTTACATCTACAGCAACTATCATATTTCAGTCATTTTGGTTTGAGTCCTGTATACATATTTCCATTTTCTTTTTTATCTTAAAAAGTACAAGATAATGCTTGCTTTTCAACTGTTTTATGAGTAATTTGATATAAAAGGTTAAATATGTTTGGCAATTTTATTAATTTTCTGATTGATTCTTTTGTTTGCTTGCTTGTCAAGCAATGTTATAAATAGCGGTAAATAGCCCCGCAATAGCGGTGCTAATAGCGTTAGCGGTCCCTTCCCGCTACGCTATCGCCCAATAGCGGTGACATATTGCGGAATATGCGCTTTTCGTTCGCAAAAGCGGCCAATAGCGAGCCCTAACGGTAAATAGCGGGCGATTGTGTGCAAAATCCGTTTTTTGACTGCTATTTAAAAGCGGTTTGGGGTTTATTTTTTTAAAATTAAACCCGACCTTTAACCATTCCATTCGACCGCCTCCCGCGATGTTCAGCGTGCTCCCGCCGCCTCTCATAGCCTCTGGCACCTAACTCAGCATTTCCTCTCACCTCCTTCATCGTGAGCTCCTCCTAGGTCAGTCCTCTCACCGCTCAGCTCATCTTCTCGAAGACGACGACTCTTTGACTTCTCTTCATCATTTTTGGTATTATGTGACGATTACATGTCTATTTCATGTTTAGGATCTTTTTAAATCATCAAATATGCACTTTTAGATTTTCTAGGTTTTTCTTTAAACTTTTTTTAGTATTTACACGTCTAAATTAGACCGCTATTTGATTTTGCATTTTTTACCGCTATTTTACCGCAATAGCCCCAAATAGCCTTAGCGATGCCTTACCGCTACGCGACGCTATCCACTATCGATAACCTTATTGTCAAGTATGAAAGTAAATTTGTGTCAGTCTAGTGTCAAAACAGTTCTGGAGATTAGATGCTCTGGTTTCATGTTTATTTTCTTATGGTTCACATTCTTCCTTCGGTAAATAGGTGAAAAGGTTTGGGAATAAGAGCCAGATCGACTTAATAGTGGCTGAGGTTGGCGGTCTAATTGAATCAGCTACTAATGAAGCCCAAATTGAGTTATTTGAGATGCTGATTGATGGTTGTCGAGAAGCAGTTAGAGAAGGAAATATGGATCTCAAGGTGTGTCCTATACATTTTCTTGCATTATTCATTGTTAGTTGTTGCTACGTAAGTAAATCAGGAATCCGTACTCCTATTTTCTTAGTTCACTAATATTTTCCTTTTTCTAGGGAACTCTGCTAGATTTTTTTGGAGTGCCTGCAAAAGCACATGAAATTCTAAATCGTGTGGAAGAGCTTCAGCTATTGGCAAAACGCATCAAACACTACAAAGATCCTATCGCCCAGTTTAGATTGACAACTCAGCATAAGAGCCCACAGTGGTCAAAAGGTTGTGGCTGGAATCAAGGTGGAAGCTCATTCTTGTCAGTTGTTTTTATTTGTTTTTTTATCTAAATTCTGATGTATTATCATGTTCCCATTGGAAATATCATCAGTGGATGATGCAAGGTTGCTTCTTGGAGTTCATTACCATGGATTTGGAAATTGGGAAAAGATAAGATTAGATCCTAGACTTGGTCTTGGAAGGAAGATTGCACCAGTAACTCTTGGGGAACGGGAGACATTCTTGCCTCGTGCTCCCAACTTAGATAATCGCGCTAGTGCCCTTTTGCAGAAGGTAAATTGTTCTTTCTTACGCGAAGTGTTCATTGTTCCCAAATTGTTCTTTCTTATTCAAAGAGTAACCTTAACAAAAACTGAAACTATGACCTTCCTTTTCTCACCTCTCGAGAATATTAAAATATTGTTTTACCTCTCAACTTATCTGTTTGATGGCTATGAGATCATAGTTTATTTCGCAAAAAGAGCTGCTAAGAGATAAAGGATGAGGTCCCCACCTTTCAATGTGACAACCAGGGTAAACTTCACCACCGGGCTATCTGTTGGTAGCTCATTTAGAGCCGGCATCACATACACACTATTTCCTATATATACATATACACACACATATAGCATATACATACATATACATGTAGATGCATGTATACCTACCTACATAACACACAGACATGCATACACCCATAATCCCATATATATTTGTGCACATACCACAACTTGTCTTTCCCTTGGTATGTATATTTGTATGCATACCACAACTAGGCTTTCCCTAGGTAGCTCATTTAACAAAATGAACCGCCATCTCATACACATTACACCCCACACACTTTACTGATTCCTGCTTTCTCAAGGGGATGCATTTTCACCTGTTCTTTATTAATACCAACAGGAGTTTGCAAATGTCAACGACAAGCTCACAAAAGGTAAAGGCAAAGGTAATCGTAAAAGTACAATGGCTGAATCAGAAAACATTGTTACATTGAACACTGAATCAAAAGATCGGAAATGGAAATTTGGCTCTGCTAAATTGAATTCTCAGCCAACAAAACAGTCTCTTCAGAAACATAAAAAGGTGGAACCTCAGGTCAAAGAGGAAGGTGAAATATCCGGGTCTGAGCCAGAAAACTATGAGCAGTACAAGGAAGAGAAGTGGATGGAGTGGTGTGCAGATGTCATGGAAGAGGAACAACAGACCCTGACACGGCTAGAAAGGTTGCAAACTACTAGTTTAGATCTTCCGAAAGAAAAGGTAGCTTATTGTTTTATCCCTTTTTTTTAGCTCATTACCAAATAAAAATCCACAGTTTTACTCCCATTTATCAAAAAACCCACCTAGTTCTATATGTTCCAACAAAGTCAATCGGAAAGTTTGTTTACTTTTAGATCCAAAATAGAATGCACACTGTATAGCTGCATACAGTAGGTTGTATAGCTACACACTATAGGGTGTATAACACATAATATAGGGTGTTTGAGTATGTAATACTGGGTTTATATCTACATACTCTGGGCGTATAGCTACATACCCTATGGTATATACCTATACACTTTGTATTCTATATTTTAGGTTTAACCAAACTTTGTATTTTGGGTTTATTGGAATGTATGGGATTAGATGGGTATTTTGGTAAATGGGAGTGTAACTTTGGGTTTATAAGCAAAAACCCCATTTTTTTTTGTTGCAGCACGCCATTTTGTTTTGACCTACAAAATTTTCAGGTACTTGCTAGAATTCGTAAGTATCTGCAGCAACTTGGGAGAAAGATCGATGACATAGTTCAACAACATGAGTCAGCATGCAGTCAATATAAACAATCCAGTAAGTTTCTATTCTTGTGAAACTTATTTAGGCCAGAAGGCCATAAGAGCGTAATTTGTGCATTTAACCACCGTAGCTCATTATTTACTCATGTACATGGGTGGAAGGATTGGTTTTTAAATACAATACCTCATTTGTTCAATTTATCACAAGTGTTATGCCTGACCTGTGCCCGCACGGGTGGATCTGCTTTTCTTTTATTTGACTAAAGTTTAAGGTGAGGGTCAAGGGAATAAAACAATATGGGAGGAAAATTTACAATTATCATGATTTGGGGGCAAATTTAAAAATACATAACAGTTGGGGGTATATAATAAAAAAATCCGAAAATTTTAAAATATGAGTAAATGTCACTAAACTCCCAATAAGTTTAGGTGTTTGAAACTAAATCTCCAAACCCTCATTAAACCCCCATTAACTTTTGGCTGAAAACCCTCAAAATTAAAATCCTTAGCTCGTAGTCAAATGACCAAAATGCCCCCAATAAATTGTGGCAGAAACCTGAATAAATTTATGTTTTTTTCACTTAACCCCAATACTTTTTCGTAGAAAATCCCCTAATAACGGATGTTTAAAATCTTCAGAGGCTTGTTTGTAATTTTGAAAATTTTAGGAAGTTTGTAATTTTTGAATATTTTTAAGAGGGTTGTTTGTAATTTTGGCTTTTTTTTGGGCCGTGGTGTTAGTACTTAGTACTTGTTAAATAGTTTGGGGTTTCTGTAAAATTTTGAGGTTTTACTACAGTTTTTTAATTTAAAGGGTCCGTTTGTAATTTCATATTTTTAGTGGTTGTTTGCAATTTTAAATTTCTCAGAATGCTATTTGACATATTTTATTTTATGGGCTTTTTTGCAATTTTAAAATTTTTCATGTGTTTGTTTGAATTTTTAGATTTTTAGTAGGTTGTTTGCAATTTTCAGATTTTAAAGGGGGTTGTTTGAACTTTTTGGGTTTTGCAATAGGCAAGAGCTTGTTTGCAGTTTTTTTTATTTTTCAATGGTGGGTTTATAATATCCTAATTTGTCTGGGCGTTTTCTATATTTTTTTTAGGAATTTAAAGGGGTTCTTTGTAAGTTTAGAATTTTTCTGCACATCATTTGTAGTTTTTGATTTTTTAGCAAGCTATTTGTAATTTTCATATTTTTAAGGGTTGTTTGTAATTTTGTGGAGGTCAAGTGCCAAAAATAAAAAAGTTAAGGAGGTTTTCAAAAATTCTCAAACTTACTGGAGATTTAATGAGAGTTGCAAATAATTTGGGGGTTTGATATACTATATGCCAAAGTTTTGTTGAAATCTGCACTTTAGAAAGATAAGTTCGGCTATATAACATTTTTTAGGTTCTTTAATTATGGATAGTTATAATTTGAATATTAGCATTAACAAAGATGATTATTAGAAATTTTTTTCCCGTTGATAGAATTTTCTAACTCCAGATATGGATAGTTAAAATTTGAAGAGAATTTTTAAAAAAGATAGAATTGGTTGTACACATGTTATGTTCTGATACGATAGGGGGATGTATGACATTACTTTTGTTGAGATTTGACATGCGACACTATTTGTACACATGGTGCTTTTGGGTGCCTTTAAGAATAGATTGCCAATTTTAATTTTCATCTTTTTTGTTTGTAACTTTATGGAGCTTAAGCGCTAAAAATAAAAATGTTAGGGTGTTTTTTAAAATTCTCAAACTTATTGGAGATTTAGTGAGAATTACAAATATTTTGGGGGTTTAATGCTATATGCAATAGTTATAGGCATTTTGTTGAAATTTACCCTTTAGAAAAAGCAAAGAGGGACACAACAATTTTCTTAGGTTCTTTAATTATGGGTAGTTACAATGTGATTCGAGTCAACAAGGATTTGATTATTTGAATTTTCTATCTTTTTATGGATAGAATTTTCTAATTATGGATATGAATAGTTCTAATTTAATGAAAATCCTTAAGAAGATAGAATTGGTCGTACACATTACAATTTTTTTTATAGATTTGACCTGTGACATTTTTTTGTATACATGGCGCTTTTTTGGTGCCTTTAGGGATAGTTCACCAATTTCTATATAAAGGAGGATATCTTTTCAATAGCTTTTGTAGTTTTTATTAAGTGTTACTTCATTTTCTGTATTTTCTCAATAGCATGTTGAATGTGACCTGATTGATGTTTTCTTTTCATATTTACCTGATTATATTTTTTCCCCAGGAATGTCAATGAGATTGTGGAATTATGTGTCTACATTTTCGAATTTGACGGGGGAAATACTTTATGACATATATGCAAAACTCAAGGAAGAGAAAGGTGGCCCTTCCCATTTCAACGGTTCTGGGTCAGGTTGGGACTGATAGGGACAAAAATAAACCATTCATACCCTTATTTCAACAATGATTCCTAAAATAAAACAAGATCTAATCAATTGTCATTTCAACTTTCAGAATCATTTCATAGGAATCACAGCTCTGAAGCATGGAAACGCCGAAGAAGACCCAATGAGGATAAACAATTCCAGGTGCCGCCACCCCATCCACAGGTGCCAATGAGCAAT